AAAACCCTCGTTTCCGCTGCTTTTCGACGCGATGCCGATGACTACTCGCCGTCGTTTGGCCGACACGCCTATCGTGCCCAAGATCTTTTTCTGTCTGCATTGCTTGAGAACCAGTATCAAGAATTTCGATGTCACCAACGCAGAAAATTTTGCACCTGGCTGTGTTTTCGATGCTGTGGCATCCGTGGCGTGTAAGCAGTATTCCAGTAGAAACCAGATTTGTCACCAGGTACGTTTCGACAGCTTCTCGGTGGATTTCTCAGGCTAATGAGGACTAGACTTCGGTTGGTATGCTGGGGAACGCCCTCGAGTTCTCACAGATTCTAAACTGGAGCCAGGAGTTTTTTGTCGACCATACTGCCCCCGACCAGAATCTGGATTGGGACCTGACGCTCCGCGTCCAGGTCGGTCACTTAACCCTGGCCCTGGCCACCGGCTTCGAGGCGGCCGAGCTGGCCCACCGCCGTGAGCATGGGCTGACCGGCACCAGCAAGTCCAAGGTTACCGTACGTTTCCCCATCGACTTCCCGTCAATTCGTGGGCTAATTTGCTAGCCCAACCTGGTTCCCTATCGCTCCTTTGTCGCGGGCCGTCGTTCCATCGCGGACGATCCGACTATGCTTCGCCTGATGCCCGGGGATGACGGGTTTCTTTTGTAGACTGGGGCCAAGCAGGCATTCTTCGAGGGGGTTTGCCGCGAGGTGTGTGCCATATATGGCGACGAGGCCTCCCCCCAGGGTTTCCGCATCCAAGAGATGAAGCAGTCCTGGCCCTTTGCCGCTCATCTCCTGTAAGAATGGCACCAATTGGCCGGGTTGGTCCGGTAGTTTTTCGATGGGGGTCCGGCTCGTTTGCAGGGGTTTTTGTTTCGATCACGCATTTCAGCATTGACCTTTGAATGTATCTAACATAGCAATTCGATGTGGATTCGGTTGTCTCCCTTGTATTTAGAAATAAGACATTTTCTGCCGCCCCAATTTCTTCTTTTGCCTCCTATAGCTTCGAATAGCTTGCTGGGCGTTGCCCATAGATTCTTTCGGGACCCATTCGTTATATTCACTTGGCCAGCCCGTCTATTTGACTAGAAAATACTACTCATTGTCAAAAGTCTGCTTGTCTTTAACATCTTCGACCTCGAACTCCTCTTCCTCCTCCAAATCTGGGGGGTGGAGTTGGTCTTGCGAATCTGCACTGGATTCCCATCGTTCTAACAACGATATATAAAAGACATTATAGATTCGACTATAACAGTCAGGCAGGGAAATTCGATATACCTGTTTTCTAATAGCTGCTAGGACCTTCAGGGGTCCAATATATCGAGAAGCTAGCTTCCGAAATAGGGCCTTGATTTTTAAATTCTTGGTAGACAGCTTCACGAGATCTCCCTTCTTAAAAGTTATTGGCTGGTGTTTTTTGTTATAGCGCTCCTTTGTCGCTTCGTTAGCTTTTCGCCAGTGATTTTGTAGGTTTTTCTGTAGTACAGCTAGCTTATTAATTCGATCTTTAGCTGCAGGAACCTCTCTCTGGGAAGTGCCGACCTCGGCACAAAGGTAAAAGTCAGGCGAATAGTCTAAGAGAGCCTCGAAAGAAGAATAACCAGTAGTTAAATTCAGAGTATTATTGCAAGCAAATTAAGCAGAAGACAGTAGAATAGGCCAGTTCAGATAATTTTCATCAACAAAGCATCGAAAATATTGTTTAAGAGTCTGATTCATTCTTTCAGTTTAACCATCAGTCTGGGGTCGAAACGCTGTCGACAAACAGAGTTTAACCTGAGTATAGTAGGCAACTCGGGACCAAAATTTGCTAGTAAAAAGAGAATCTCTATCTGAGATTATATTCTAAGATGGTCCAAACTGGAGTTCAATCTCCCTATAAAAGAGTTCAGCAAGTTCTGAAGCAGTTATAGTGCATGAAACAGGTAGAAATCGACACTACTTCGTGAACCTATCCACAATAATAAGAATTAAATCCAAAATATTGTCTTTTATCATGACAGAAGATAGACCTGTAATAAAGTCTATAGATAGTTCGACGAAGGGTCGGCTAGGAATCGGCAGCGATTCGAGCTCGCTGTATGGTTTATGCCTAGCAAATGTAACTCCTTAACATACAGAGCACTTCCTGACATAGGTAACCATATCTTCGTAAAGATTTACCTAATAAAACTTTCTCCTAAGAAGGGCTTTTGTTCTTGATTGTCCAAAATGGCCTGCTAGCCGATTATTATAATAAAGGCTTAATAAACGTTGCCGAAGGCTTTGTCCTGCAGGGATATACAAGCGGTGCTTGTACGTAACAAGATTATTCTCGTTGATTCTCCAATGTTTGGACCCAGGATTACCTTCTAAAACGGCAAGTTTTCGACGATGTGTCTTTATATCTCCGTTTTGGATTCTTCCGATCAGGAAATACAATTCCTCGTTGATTTCAGGACAGAATAAGTCTTTATTCTTACATGCTCGGAACGCTGCCGATACATTAATATATTTGTCATAGAACAAGCTTGCTCCAACAGTTTCAGAATATAATAAGTCCTTATACTTACATGCTCGGAACGCTGCCGACACATTAACGCATGGATTATAGAATACTTTTGCTCCGACAGTCCAGCCAACTGCTTCTATACCGGTTCGATCATATTCAGATCCTAATAAACTTAACGCACGCTGGCGGGTATGGGGTTCAGGGCTCTTCTGTAAAAACGTCTCGTTACACCCCAGCTGGAACTTCTCCGAGACTAGCTGTAATCTTATAAGGAATTTACCAGCTATTCGATGCTGCATCGACTTCAGAACCTTCGTATCAGGCAGGACTTCTGAGTCTTCTTTTATTCTCGACGGCGGGTCGGCAGGGTTGCGCCTATCGGGCCGATGTCGAATAATGAAGTTATAACCACTGAGGTACATACACCATTGAGCCTGACGGCCGTTCAGCTTCGGCTGTTTTATAAAGGTTTGGAGATTTTAATAGTCTGAAAGAACTTTAACAGTATGCGATGGCCCTTCAAGATATTAACGCCAATACTTAAATAAATAAACAATAGCGAAAAGCTCTTGGTTTGGGGTCGAATAGCAAGTTTCAGCACTATTAAACTTTTTCGACCAGAATGCAACAGGGTGGTATACTTCATGGTCACCCGGCTGAAAGAGTATCCCTGCTATACCCTATTAAAAAGCATCCGTTTCTATCCGGATCTTCTGTTAAGAATCGAAATGCCTTAATAAAAGCGCAGTCTTAAAACTATAAAAAAGCTGTCGGAATACTGCCGTTTCTTTACTAGTTAACGCCACTCTCCCAGGCTTCTTCCCATTCTGGGTGCCTTTCAAAAGGAAGATCAGTGGCAACGCAATTAGGGAATAATTCTTGATAAAACGCCGATAAAAATTGCAGAATCCCAAGAATACTTGGATCTCACGATATATAGTTGGTATCGGCCATGCAAGAATGTCGGATACCCGTCGGGAATCCATCGACACACCACGCGAGAATATAATATATTCTAGAAATTTAATATAATCTTGATAGAAAGTGCACTTTAATAACTTGACATAAAGATCTGCTTTTCGTAAGCGTTTCAACACTTAATATAGATAAAGAGTATGAGAAGGGCAGTCCTTTGAAAAGATGAGAATATCATCTAAATAAGCGACGCAGAAAACGTCCAACACATCGTAGAGAGCCAAATGGATATAGTTTTGAAACGTAGCCGGAGCGTTAATTAATCCAAAGGGTATAACTAGATATTCGAAATGCCCGTAACGGGTTCAAAAGGCTGTTTTCCATTCGTCTCCCTGTTTAATGCGAATTCGGTAATACGTATTCTGAACATCTAGCTTGGAGAAATATTTGGCTTCTATAATTCTGTCTAGAATTTCTGAAATCAGGGGTAAAGGATAGCAATTCTTAACTGAAACCTTATTGAGTCCCCTGTAATCCACACATAATCGGAGGCCTTTATTCTTCTTTGGCACAAAAAGAATAAGGGCTCCTGCAGGACTTTTGAAAGGTCGAATTCGTTCTAATCGAATATTTTCATCAATATAATAACGAAGGGATTGGAGCTCAACTTAAGATAAAGGATAAATAGGTCCATACAGTAGAATTTCGCCATCTTTTAGATCAATAGCATGGTCCGAGAATCCGTAAGAAAAAAGTTATTAAGAGCAACTAAAAGAGAATATATCTGCAAAATCTTAAAGCTCAGAAGATAATATAACCTTATCGGGTCCAATTCGTGAATAATTCGAGGAGGCTTCATCTTCTGGTAGCCAGACATCCTCTGGAAGTTTAATAACAGTATGAATATAGGCAAGATTTCGGCAAGCTTTTGTAAATTTGTAAGGGGATAAGACCTTTAATATTTGGGCCTCATACTACTACTGTCGATTTCATGCGGATAGGTAAATACGTAGGTCTTCTAAGATAATTATTGAAAGTAGAATAGGGCTTCCGGAAAGATCTGGATTACAATTAATAGCCATATAATACCTTACGAATAATTATATAGTTCCCCTCGAATCAGTAGCAGTAATAGGGATTTTCCACACACCATAGATGTCTATAGTAAGGCGATTAATTACAGCAACCAGTAGGGCTGTAAGGCGGGCTGCGTTTAAATAGAATTACTGAACAAATTAATAGCTAATAAGATCAATCTCAGCACACGAATCCAAGTCCGCGTGGGTTTCAAGTATATTTCTGAAGCGAATAGGCACATTAAAGCGAGTAGCAGTCTCTACTTTAGGCCAGTTCGTTGAAGACGTAGGGGCTTCTTCAACTACTGCCCTTTTCCCATCGGTTCTGGTTCGGTCCCATCTTTACCCCTATAAGGGCATCGGTTGGCTAAATGGTATTCACTGTTGCATTTATAACAGCGAAGAATTTTCCCTCTTTAATTCCTTCCGTTTCGAGGGGATTTAAACGAGGAGAACTTATTATTGGGCTGCGAAGGTCCGGATCCTCTGAAAGCCTTATTTAGATAGTATTCTCGGCCCTCTGGATCTTGTTTCCTCTTTCGGTTTAATATATTCTAATAATGGGTGGCAATAGATACCATTTCCTCTCGGGAGTCCGGTAGTTTTAATATATATTTATAGATGTATCGACTGAGTTCCGGTGCCAGCTTTAAAAAGAAGATTAATATACGTTTGTTGTCTTATTTAGATTTAAAATAACGCTCTAAAGTATTCAAGTAAGAATAAAACTCTCTCGGATTCTAATCAGTTCGCTGGTAGGCCCGTTCAAGCTGCCCCATAGTATCAGACTGTAGAATAGCTGTGTTTCGAATAAGAGAAAGAGTCCATTGAATAAAGTAATTCCACAATTTCTTAGCATTTCGGCGGTCTTCCGGGAATTTTTCATCAATGTATCGGTACCATCTCTGCCGACAGATAGAGTCCAAATAGCTAACTGCAGCTAGGACCCTTTAATTCTCTGTTCGATACTTCCAAGAGGCTCCCTCAAAAGTATATAGTAGATTACGAATCCACTCCGTTCTCTGTTGTAAACTGAACCGAAGGGAGAAAATAGGAATTTTCTTAAGTTTAATTTCTCCCTTTTCTTATTCAGAAGATGAGATCGAGCTAGTACAGCGTCGTCGTAATTCTGTTAAGAATTCGATGCCTCCACATTCTGTTTGTAATACTTAAACCTGTTCTTTCAATTGCTTTAACTGTTCCAATCGGTGAATGGTGGCTTGCACTTCTTGAATATCTGTCTGAGTTAGATAATATGATTTAAAGGCAGACGAAGTGCCTTAAGATAATTCCGACGAAGATTCGTTAGATGACATATTGCTTTTCCTTAGGTAATTAAAAAAAAGAAGGATTAGGAATTATTAGGAACTACTTAATGCAGTAGACACGC